AGTTAAATCTTGAACAGCACCGTTTTGAACCACACAGGTCCACTTTATATGCAGACATTTGTTACTAAATATACAGGCAGTGTTCACAACCTCATGTTCACCCAATCGTAGATCAAAAAGAGTATTTTCTCTCTTTGATTAGGAATCTGCAGATGTGGAGAGCCAACTCAATGCATTTTTCTACACCATTTTACATAAGAAACTTCAGCATCTGTGGATTTTGGTATCTACATGGAGTCCTGGAAACAATCCCCATGGATATCAGGAGACTACTGTAGTTACGTTTCTGGGGAGTCAAACATTATATGCAGATTTTTGACTGCACAAGGTATGGTAACCCTAACTCCTGCATTGGTCAAGGGTCAACTGTATCTAGTTAAATTTTAAAATTCCACATTTTTCTATTCTTGTTCATATATATGCCCCAAACACAACTATCTATTTATTTTATATTATATTTTTGTAGGAATAAATTTATAGAAGCATTTAAATCTATATATTTGTACATCAATTAATTTTCTTTTTATGTCTGTATAAACATATATATATGTTCATATATATACATATATATCATATATATCTAAAATGAATAGTGCATATTTTTGTGGTTTTAATATCTATTTGTTTTGCTTTATTTCTTGTATTTTTTATGTATGTAAATTAGCAAAGGGCATGTACTAATTTTTCAGATATATATTTTTTCAAAGCAAACAAACAAAAAACAAAACATAAAATGAGAAAGATGTTCATGTGATAACTGGAATAATATAGATATCAGACTTGTTTTTAAATGATTTATATAACAGTCACTTTTATGGCACTGCAATTAGCTGAAAGACAATTATAGTCTTGTATGACATAAAGTGAAGAGCTGCTTCTCAGTTACAAATGACCAGATAATAATGCCCTGTCAGAACGGTCTTCTCAGTATAGATTTAGTTCATAATAAACTATTGTGAAAATAGCTAAGTTGTTATGCTTTCAATAGTTGTAACTCTGGTTGTTTAAGTAATTTGTCAAATAGCATCTTTCTTTGACCTAATATTCATGAATATTGATGAACCAGAACAGATCATGTCCCAAAAGTTTCTCACTCAAGGCAGACAGCTCACATCTGCTCCTGTTCATTGCAGTTATGTCTCTCAAGATCACGATTTAGTACATGTAAAACTTACAAATCTAACCCAAGAAGTGAAAACACAAATATAATAAAAAGGTTTTTTTAATTTTCCAGTATGATTCATTAAAAAAGGTACAGTTTTATTAGTAGCACATTAATAAACTTAAAGAACAAAGTGACAAGTTGTCACTAATATTATTTTATATTTTACAAACATCCACCAAAACAATTAAAAATGAAATAAATATATTTACATTTCATATTTCTGGAATTTTCATTGTATTTTAATATATATATAAAATATATAACATTTGCAATATTTATTTATCTTCAAAAGGAACTTCAAATGTGCAAATATGTGAATTATGATCTTAAAGTATTAAGGAATAAGAATAAATCATTAACAACAGTTTTAGAGGTATGAATAAAGCAATTCCTTATGGAGAGCTGATGAGTACAGTAGTATTAAGAGTGGCAAAAGATTTGTTATTACATCAGAACATCTACACTTACCTTTAAAAGTTAATCACAAGATTGTCCTTGTGCTTTTAAAGCTTCTCTACACTGCTGATTTCTAGCAGTAATTCTAAATAATTGCTAAATTATCACTTTCCACAAAAATAAATCAAGCTTCTCTCAAATCTAAAATTCCATGTACACAAAGTTTATGAACAAGCTTTGTCATTTTAAATGAGGGAAATGTTGATCTATAAATGAATGCACCCAAAGGAAAATTTCTCTTCTAACATGGCCAATACGGACTTGATGTTTGTTTTCAAGTAATTACTTTTCTACTTTCTAAATGACAGTTTTGTGAGCAAAGGTTTTAAAATTATAAGTTGGTACATGCTTAGAAAATGGACAAGAAATTATTAGCTAATTATTCTTCTTTAAAAGTAGTGTTGGATGATAAATGTTAGGATACACACTAGGTTTATATTATCTATTAAAGTATTTTTAAGTAAATACTTGTTGCAATATAACACATTTAAAATTGCCCTGCTTTAATATATTTTGGCTTAAATTAATTGTTATTCTTTATCAGGCAAAATACATTATTATAGTAGTTAGCAAAGATTTAAAATAATTGAACTCTCTTCTCTGACCTAAGTATCTGCAATATAATAGTCTCTTTGAGCTTATGCTATGTACACTATAATGAACACTTTAATGTGCATGGTATACAATGGGTATACACACACAGACACACACACATACACCAAGGCACTGGAGGGGTTAACACAAAATTAAGCATTCTGCTGTTAAAATGTGCTCTAGTACAAACTAGATTTTGATAAATAAATCTCATGCATATAAACCTAAATTACATGAGAAATAGAGATTTATCTGAGTATTTTTCATTTTTAAACTGCCTCATTCAAGTAATCCAAGTTATAACAAATGACAGTGACTAATCATTGCACTGTAAAAGAAAATGTTAAATATTATTTGCTAACTAATAAAAATCAGAATAATATTTTTGTAATAAGTGGCTTCTCTAATAATCATACTAAGTAGAAATTTAGGCCTTTTTTATCAATAGTATAAAAATAAATATAGTGTTATCATAAATTTTGATTCAAGGTACAATTTACAATGTAAATTTAAAGTATATTAAGTACATATTTGAAATATATTCTTTTAATATAATTTGCAGTTAATGTTTTATTATATATACATATATGTATATGTGTATGTGTGTATGTGTGTTGTGCAAGGAAATATATAATCATACATATCTAATTGTTCACTTTTTCCTTCATCATACACATAAGCATAGGCTAGATATTTATGACATAACAAAAAAGATGTTTAAATAAATTATCTTTTTGTATTTTTAAAATGGAAATTTTTACATAATCAGACATTAATTTTTAATGGTTACATTGCACTTATATAAAGTTTTAAAACTATTTTTTTTTCTTGTAGCTAACTATCCCATTTCATATTGCCTGTGGACCAGATTATCACACTGTGGACACACAGGCATTACCCCAAGTTAGGGCACACTGAGTTACAATTCTAGTTAGCAGCAGAGACTCCATAATGAGCTGTCTGCTACTGTTTCACATCGCAATGTAGATAACTCTCTCTATTTTTTCTCCATAAGCTCAATAGTGGCCTACTGAAGCCTGTTTTAGTGGGATTCTGATTTTCAAATGACTATTGTGTTTAATTGATACATCGTGAGGAGTAATTCCATGGTCTTGCCCTAATTACAGTTATGTATTTAGTTTTTTGTTCAAAATAAATTATATCGAAACAGCATATTGTTGAATTTGCTACAATTCTTTTAATAATGTGTCCTAGATCAACCTTAACACTTGTCCAGGTTAAATTATGAACCTTCACTTTTTTTTAAATTTAATGTTCTTCAGAAGCAGATGCGAAGCGAATTGATAATTGATGATTATAGATATAGTTTGATGTTAAATTTTTAATTATAATGTTAGCGCCATTTTTACAAATTATTTTGTTTCTTTCTTGAGTGACTTTTTCTCTCCTATTTTTTAAAAAGGTAAATCAAATCACTTTATTAGCTACTTGGTCATTTTCACAAGGAAATATCTAATTTTAATGTAGTTAGGAACACGTGTTAATAAAAAAAAAAGGATTATTTTTTTCTTTTTAAATGGATAGCTGGTTGTTTAAAAGCAGATCTCAGTAACAGCTGTAGTGAAGGACAGAATGTTTTCCACATTATACAAATAGTTATTTAATACGTGGGATCTGAGTCATATGCACACACTTCCAATGCTTTCAAATTTTCAGTCTCTTCACATTTTCATTCTTTAGACAATATACCTAAAATCACTCACATAGTTTGGTGTTATATAATCCCTTTTTATGACACTGTAAGACAGACATTTAAAACTTTATTTTCATATCTCACCTTATTTTCTCATAAAACATTATACAAAAATAGAAAAATGTACTTTAACATAAGTAATAGTTTTAAGACTGCTTTCTAGAAAGATTTCATTTCACAATTAGCTAGCAAGGTTAGGAGTACAAGGAATTATTTCTACACTACATTTGTTAATATTTCCTCTATGAAAGTTTTTGGGGACACTGAAAATGTATGAAGAATAATAAAGCCCATTAGATAAAATATAAATCTTCTTAAATAAAGAGAAGAACAAGAGGTTCATGAATGTTTTCATTGTTTATAATTAAATTAATACATTTTGTCATATTTGGTTGACATGGCAGCAAGTAAAACATTTAGTATCAGTGATGCAAAAGGAAATAGTCCATTTCATACTTTGTCTATCAGAGGTCAATATTATATTTTTGCAATTTTTAGGAATATTTTATAATAAGATGAACAAAATTGCAGTTCTAATGTCAAATTATGGAATGAGAATGCCAAGAGAAATCTAAATCAGCAAATTAAAGTGCTTTTTTTAATGAGACTTTTTGCATGCTAGTGTCCTTGCTGTCATATGTCTTTTTTTTTTTTTTGCCTCCTTATGTCCCTCATAATACAATTATAGGGCATTAGTTTATGATCTGAGCCAATGTGTCTTTTGCATACAAAATAATCTAAAATACAGAATAACAATTTAATTGGTGTTTTTATTTATAGATAGCTAACAATTTTTATATTATTTACATAATTCAAATTATTTACTTTTTGTCTTCAGTTTTGATGAAAGCAGTATACTGGTACAAATCCACCAGGTGAGAAACAAGCTGTTTTACTCTTTTATGATTATTCACAGATGCCTTCCAGAATAGAAATGTTTTTGAAATCCCTTCTGACCTTTTTTTTTTTTTTTTTTTTCCCGGCAGAAATTTTAATTTGACTTTACAGTTGACTTGATGATATTATTGTTTCTTCAGGGTCTAAAATGAAATATGTTTATTAATTTTATATAGTCATGGTAAGTGGAAATACAAAGCTCAATGTATCAAGTCATGTACTTTGTTTTGCTTGTAGTAGCAGAGCTGGCAGCAGCAGAAGCAGTGACCTGATTGCTTAAAAAGAGTGGGTCCAAACAAGCTACTTTGGCAGCAAAGAAAGAATGAATGCAATGAAGAACAGCAAATAGATTTGAAAACTCCAGCTCCTGAAAAGAGAAATGAGTCAGACAAAATAAAAATAAATTTCTTTAAAAAATTGATAATAACTAGACAACTAGATAATAACTACACATTTTTTTTTTAAGTGCAATAAACTTAACTAGAACCAATTATATCTAATCTATGGAAACTGTAGAAATACTTGTTAAATATATAAATTTCATATGTATTGCAGATTTACCTCAAAATATGGTGGTGTAAGAGCTAGAGGAATGAAGCATTCTTATTATTCATAGAAGTCACTTCAGTATTGATAAATGCTGCATAAAACATTATTTGGACAGATTAAGATTTTATTCTTAATAAAATATAAGTAAAGAGAAACATGGGAGTTGTTTAAAAAGTATTTTTTTCTCTTTATACACACGTCAAATAATAAATTTGGAATGGGGCAATTTAAAAATATTTTCCACTATTCTTTAGAATGAGTTAGTATTTGTCATAGAATATTAAATATGAAATACTGAAAGTAAGGAGGTATGCATCTTTATAACATTAGAAGCCACATCATTCAATTTCAAAAAAAGAGTGCATGCCTTAATTTTAAATTTAAATAATTTTAATGCTCTATTTGGTTGTTTAAAATTGTTGTACGTGATTGTTGAAATTATGAGTATACTAGATAGATTTTAAAAGCTGACATCACAAATGTCTCTAGGAAAAAATATAAAAATATTTTAATTTCAAGCGAATCAAAAGAAGACAAATACATATTTGTGCTTAATGAAGTCTATATAATAAACTTATCCTAAAGAGGACAGAGGCTGATAAACCATATGAAATTGCTGATGAAATTGTTGTTTTATCATTATGTATTTGTAATAAAGAACTCAGAATTACATTTGATATGTACATTATTGAGAATATTTTCAGTTTATAGTATGTAGCAATGGAAAATAATTTTAAAAATATCCAATTAGGACATGTTTTAATATCTTCATGTGCCAAGGAACTGTTAAAATAATTCATTTTAGGAGTATTTTTTCTGGTCATGCCATAGCAGTGCAATAGAATTTAACATAGATTCATAGCTTTGTACAACATAAGTAAAATACCTATGTTGCCCCAGTAATCCCCTTCAAAACTTTAGCATTTCATAGCCAATTTTCTATGGCACATGTTGACTTATCCTAGAGAACAGCAAATATTTCATTTAACTAATTTAATTTCCTAAATTGTTTCTCCATAAAAATTATTTTAGTTACTTCATCGGAATAATTTCAGAAGCTTTAGTTTTAGCATTCCACTTTTATGGACTGTTACTATTACTATGATATGTTATTGTTCAACTAAAGTTTTCCCTGTTGTCTTAACCCCCAAATCCTCCATTCAGCATTTCATTTTTTGTGCAGTCAGCATATTTCTCCTGCAGATTTTGAATCTTTTCTGTGTCAACACATATTAAGTCCACCAGATATAAAAAGAGTGGGAAAGTTTTTGAAAATATGACATGTGATTGTGTGCTATTAAAAAAATAAAATTAAAACCATGTGATTTATTCTCCATGAAGGGGAAAATATTGTTGAATGTTGTAACTGGGCAAAAATATAACAAATAAATTCTCAAAAATAATTCGGACACATTTTTCTTAAATTGGAGACTATATCTTGCTTATCAAAAAACAAATATCTAAACATACAGAAATTTTGGAAAGATTAATATTTTCAATTATTTATGCCTTGTCAATTAATGTCAATTATGTGATGTAGATTGGCTCTCGAAAATTTTTAGAATTTTGCTCAGAGTGGTAATAATTGAGTGGTAAGCAAGAAATAATTGGCGTTTAGGAGAGAAAGGAGGCAAAGATGTGTTCAAGTTTAACTCTTGATTCCAATGTCAGCTCATCTTTCCTCAGCCTAAACGATTACCTTTGACAATGACATTCACTCCTAAGGCTTAGACGATTACTTCTATATAACTACAACCTTCTTTTACTCATTTATAATGTGAATCCTAGGCCTACATGTTAATCTATCTACTAAGCATCCACAGATGACTTCTACCAAGTTATTTACTACCTCCTTGTAATAAAGCTCTTCTCAATCCAATGAATCTCATTAAATATTAAGTTCTCTTCAAATTTAATCAATTTATTCAATTTGTAATTATTGATGCTTACTATGCATCTAGTCTTTTTCTTGGTGAAAAAATATGGTAGTGAGCAAAAAAACAGATGAAAATAAGTACTAATGGGACTTACATTCTAGTGGTGGGGGACAAAATATAAGTATATAAGTAAATTAAATATGATACTTCTAAATATGATAATAGGTACAGTCAAGAAAATAAAGCAGGAAAGAATAGTCAAAAGACATTGATGAACGAAATTGAATAAAACACAAAAAAAGAAAGATATTTTATGATCATGGATCAAAAAATTAATATTGTTAAATGTCCATATTACTCAAAATGATCTATAGATTCAATGCAATCTTTATCAAAATTCAATATCATTTTTTTCACATAAATAGAACAAACAATCCTAAAATTTGTATGGAACCACAAAAGACACCAAATAGCCAAAGAAATCTTGAGAAAGAAGAACAAAGCTGGAGGCAACATGTTTTCTGATTTCACCTATACAACAAAGCTATATTAATCAAACTAGTATGCTACTGACATAAAAACAGAAATGGATCAACAGAACAAAATAAACTCCAGAAATAAACCCACATATATATGGTCAATTAATTTAAAACAAAGCAGGCAATAATATACAATGGGGAAAAGATAGTCTCTAATAAATGTTGGGAAAACTGGACATCCACATGCAAAAGAAAGAAACTGGGCTAGTGTCTTATACTATATACAAAAATAAATTCAAAATGAGTTAAAAATTTCAATGCAAGATCTGAAACCATAAAACTCCTAGAAGAAAATATAGTCTATAAACTCCTCGACATCATTTTTGGTGATGATTTTTTGGGAATCCGATACAAAAAGCAAAGAGAAAAAATAAAAATGAACAATTGTAATGATATCAAACTAAAAAAAGTTTCTGCATAGCAAAATAAATAATCACCAAATAAAAAAGAAACCTACTGAATGGGAAAAATATTTGCAATATCTGATAAGGGATTATTATATATTATATATAAAGAACTCATACACATTTTAATAGCAAAAAAAAAAAAAAATTCAGTTAAAATGTGGGCAGAGAAACTAAACAGAATATTTTCCAAAGAAGACATACAGATGACCAACAGGTACATAAAAAGATGATCATCAGAGAAACACAAATAAAACCATAATAAGTTATCACTTCACATTTGTTAGAATGGCTATCATAAAAAAGACAACAAATAACAAGTGTTGGCAAAAATGTGGAGAAAAGGGAATGTTGTGCACTCTTGGTGGGAATGCAAATTGGTTCATCCATTATGGCAAACAATATGGCCGTTCATCAAAAAATTAAAAATCAAACCTTCATATAACACAGGATTTCCACTTCTGGGTATTTATTTGTAAAAAATGAACACATCCCCATGTTCATTCAGCATTATTCACAATAGCCAAGATATAGAAACAGCCTAAGTATTTGTTGATAGGTGAAAAAAAAAATTGTGATTATATATAATTATACACGCAAACACACAATGGAATATTCACCCATGAAAAAGCATGATTCTTGCCATTTGCAACAACATGGTGAACATTGAGGTCATTATGATAAGTGAAATAAGTCAGAGAAAGAAAGAAAAATAAAGTATGCTGTATCTTATATGTGGAGTTTAAGGGAAAAAAGCTCATAAATACAGAGATCAGATTGGTTGTTGCCAGATGTAGGAGTTGGGGGGTGGACAAAATGACTTAATTAGGTCACAAGGTATAAGCTTCCACTTGTAAAATACATGTCATAGAGATATAATATACAGCATAGTGACTATAATAATGCTATGTTGTATATTTGAAAGTTCCTAAGAGAATAATCTTATGTGACCTCATCATAAAAAAAAAAAAAAATTGTAACTGTATTGTGATGAATGTTACCCAGACATATGGTGGTGGCCACTTCACAATATATACAAATATCGAATCATTATGTTGTACACCTGAAACTAATATAATGTACATATTATTTATACTTGTTTTTTAAGAAGTCATTTTAATAGCTTCATAATTTCAGGAAAAAAAACAAGTTTAAATTCGTTTTATCACATATACTTTAAAAGTATATACAATAAAAATAATGTCCAAGTTAAAAATTTTAAAAATCTAAAGTATTTCTTTTGTGATCATCATATGCCTAGATATTATTTTTTAAATTCATTTTGCTAATAGTTTTTGTCTAGAATGTTTAATCTATTTACTTTAAATGTAATTACACATAAAACAAAATTTATATCTATCCTTGCTATTTGTTTACTATATATCTTAGTCTTTTTGTTCCTTTGTCCTTTCATTACTGCTTTCTTTTATGTGTGGATATATTGTCCAAATACATATATAATTTTAATTATGTATTAAATATAATTCAATGTAAATTTTATTACATATAAAATACATATTAATTGTAATTCTCTTGTTTCTTTTAATATATATTTAGTTATTTTCTTATTCCAGAAATATAATTAACATCTTAACAATCTAGTTCAGATTAATAGCAACTTAATTTCAATAGTATTAAAAATTTGTTTCAACATACCTCTCCCCTTTATGTTATAAACCTGATGACAGTTTTATAATCATTGTTTTATGAAACTGTCTTTTAAAACAGAAGAAAAGAATTACAAGCAAAATTGTATTTGTATTGTTAATTATATTTAATTAGGTAGTTCCCTTTAACAGTGCTCTTAATTTCTTCATGCGGATTCTAGTTACTGTCCTTATTTTATTTTTAAGAACTCTGGTACTTTCTGTACTGTAGATCTACTAGTGACAAATTATGTTCTCGTTGCTGTTGTCATTGTTATTTAATCTAGTAATGACTTATTATTCCTTTTGTTTTCGTTTATTATGAAAAATCATCCATTAATGATCCCATGTA